ATGACCCCCAAAGTTGTTAATATAATTCATATCTTCCCTTTCCCCTTGATTTTCACCTTCTCCACTCCATGAACACACATAAGACTGATTAACACAGGGTGTAATTAGTCCTCCATTTGTCGTGTCAATAATATGCACATGTTTGGTACCCATCTCATCTATCTTCTTTGTCAAAATACTCATCTGAGTCATGAGTGTGGCCATGTTCTCTGCATGCAAATTATTTGGGTCAAAAGGAACTGAATGCACTATGGGTGCCAGTGTTGTCCCTCTAGTCATCCACCCCGAATTCTAGGACATCTTGTCAAGAAGGACTTTGCACTCGATGAATGTCTTACTCAAAAAGGCACCTCCAACTGAAGCATCCACATTGGCCTTTAGATTGTCAGCTAACCCCATGTAGAATCTCTGGCCAAGCATCTAGTCTGGAATGCCATGGTGAGGACACTTCACCAGTATCCCTTTAAATCTTTCCCAAGTTTCTTGCAAGTTCTCAGTCAGCTGCTACTTGTACTGCAATATTTCATCAATCTACCTTGCAGTCTTGTTGGGCGGGTAGAACTTATTCAATAACTTCTTTACTAATTCCTCCCAGGTGACAATGGAATTGATTGGGAGTGAATTCAGCCAAGTCTGAGCTTCCCTAGTCACAGAGAACAGGAACAGTAATAGCTTGATAGCTTCTGGGGTCACATTTTGCTGCCTTTGAGTCACACAAATTGACAAAAAAAATTCAATTGTTGTTGAGGGTCTTTAATGTGTGACCCGGAGAACAATCCCTTATTCTGCAGCAGATACAGTATGTTGTTGGTGATCTGGAATGTCTCCGCTTGAATTGCGTGCACAACTATGGCAGTTGCCAAGTTGTCAGCTGTGGGTTGAGCCCAATCATAAAGTGCGGCTTCTAGCACAAGAGGTTCCACCACTCTGACGTTTGGGTCAGCTGGCTCATCCCTTATGTTTCCATTGACGTTCTCTATATCACCCATGTCAAATTCAAACTGGTGTGGTTGTTGTGTTTAAAGGATCCTCCTGTTGGCGCGGTTCAATGCCCTGAATGTTTTCTCGGGGTCTGAAAGTCCTTCAAGCAGTTCTCCAGTCCTCGAAGAATTTCTAGGCATACACCTGAATTCCACAAGAGTTCAAACGTTAGAATTTCAATGAAAATTGTTTAACACCTTTGAAATTTGAATTGAATTAATAATTTTAACACTACTTTTAAGTTGTAATAAATAACACCGTTAGTTCCCCGGCAACGGCACCAAAATTTGATAATGCCCAACTATGCCTTTTAAAGGACAAAGAGTTCACTGCAAATATAATCCGGTTTCCGGAATCGAATCCTCAGGGAACTAACCTATCCATTACCCTCTTCGGCAATGTTATTATCAACTCAATCAATCTCTAGATACAAGATTTTTGATCAATAATGATTGGGTTTTTGTTTAACTACTTCGACTACTATTAATAACAACGTTAAGCTAAAACAAAGATAATTCAATGGTAAAAAGGTCTAGGGCAGTGATTTCCCCAATTGCTAGTTTAGGTCCTGACTCTTCTGCTATAATCTCACCATAATACTCTATGAGGATTAAGAGCTATGGGTTATCGTAATTATCTCTCGATCAACTACAATAATTTACTAGAGCATTCTCTCGAACTACTCTAGCTGACAATAGTTATGCAACTCTAAAGTATCCCACCAAAGTTTTGTTATCTCTAAACCCACTTTTAAGTTCAAGTAATGAATCTCTTCAATTACCCAAAAGTGGTGTTGTTCAACCATTGTCTAACCTAATACTCTTTCTAAATATAAGGTAATTAGGGACGATTAATCAAGGTCTCATTCAATTAATCACCATACAAAACGTAGTTGAACAATCATATCATAAATCCGGCTCGATTATAACAACTTGAGTCAAAACTTCAACCAACAATTGGTTCCATCAACCCAAGATAAGTATTTAGCTACTCATAACAAAACAAGAGAAAACTACTAAATTGTTCATAATGTAAAATTGCAAGACTTAAAAGGAGATAGAAAAACTCTAATGTTTTGTTGATCTTCTCGCACTTGTTCTTCCTCCAAAAGTAGTCTAAAATTAGCTTCCCCTTCAATTGGGCGAGTTTCTAAAGCTTATAAGGGTTTTACAAAAGTTTCCCCGAAATTACACCTTGGTCCTCAAACTTCCAGCTGCATGAACCGTGCACCACGGTCGCGGCCAACCGCGGTCGACCGCGGTGAAAGTTGGCCTTTCTGCCTCACTTCAGCAACCTGCCATGGTTCACCGCGGTCGCGGTGGCCTTCTCGCCTAGGCCATTTATGCTTCTTTGTGTTCGGGTACTTCTCGAGTGGGTGTTTTTCTTCACATTATTGCCTCCAAAACACTCCATGTTGCTTCCTCTCATATAATATTCCCTGCTAAACAAAAGAACACTATTTAGAGCATTTTGTTGGCAATTTATCTATAAAACAACAATAAAGTATGGTCATATTAAGGTGTAAATATCAACTATATCACCTACTATCAATGCCCCTCAGCAGTATGGCAGGAGTTTACGGAGGCTTTTCTTCGTCATTATTTTCTACCAAATCTTAGACGGGACAGAGTTGATAGGTTCTTGACCCTTCGGCAAGGTAATGGGAGTGTTCGGGAATACATCCTTTAGTTTGGTTCTTTTGCTAGGTATGCTCCCACTATTATAGTTATGATAGAGAATCGGGTTCACTGGTTCGTGATGGGGTTGGAGCTGCACCTGCTTAATGACTATATTTCGGTCTCACTTCAACCAGGCATGGATATTTCTCGAATTCAGGCATACGCTCAGGGTGTAAAGGAGCATAAGCAGAAGCAGAGGGCCGATCGTGAGCATGATAGGGGCCAGAGTAAGAGAGCGAGATCTTTAGGACCTTCTGGTGCGTTTTGAGGTAGTCAGAGACAGCAGTACCCAAAGTATCCAGCCCAGCCATCGGCGAGTGCACCCCATCAGTTTGCCGATAGGAGATTTGATCGCTCCACATATTCAAGGACCAGTTAGAGTTCCAGGGCCTCTAGTTCTCATTATAGGGGTGAATCAAATCAAATAAGGCCGCCCTTGCCACGATGTGCTCAGGGTGGTAAGTAGCATGTCGGGCAGTGCCTTATAGGGTTGGGTGTTTGTTATACTTGTGGTTATCTAAGCTACATTATGAGAGATTGTCCAACAAAAAGTGGTGCAGGTATAGTTCAGCCAGCGGGATCTGTAGCTAGTTTGTCATCATCAGTACGCCCCCTAGGCAAGGTTCACAGGCACCAGCCAGTCGTGGTAGAGGCAGAAGTGGAGCATCTAGCTACAGTTGTCCTCAGAACCGCATTTATTCATTAGTAGGTGGACAGGATCGGGAGTCTTCACCTGATGTTGTTACAGGTATATTATCAGCCTCCTCATATGATGTATATTCATTGATTGATCCAGGTTCCACCTTAACGTATGTCACTCTGGTGGTTGCTAGTAAGTTTGGGATAGAACCTGAGTTGATTAAGCCTTTTGAGGTGTCTACACCTGTTAAGGTTCCAATGATAGTTAGACGAGTATATAGAGATTGTATAGTAGTAGTTTATAGTCGTTCTACAGTAGCAGACCTGATTGAGTTAGATATGGTAGAATTTGATGTTATAATGGATATGGATTGGTTGGCTTCTTGTTATGCTAAAGTTGATTGTAGATCAAAGATGATTTGGTTTTCGTTTCCAAGAGAGACAGTTCTAGAGTGATAAGGTAATACTGCTGTCACGACCCAAATCGAAGGGCCATGATGGGAACCCGGTACCTTAATCAACCGAGTACCAATGTAACATATCTTTCTTATCGTACTATTATTGGTAAATGGGCCAAAAGGGTCGCCATGAGATAATCAAAATAAACAAAAGGGAATACTAGACATAGGATGACCTGGCATGATACAGAAACTTATACATGTGACATACGGTCCTATAAGGCCAACATGATCATTTGTAAACTCAAAGCATAGGCCGATAAGGCCATACAAGATCCATATACCTGACATCTATCTATAAGCCTCTAAGAGTACATAAACATCATAAAGGTCGGGGCAGGACCCCGCCATACCAGTCAATACCTGTCCAAATCATACTGACCAAATAGGCAACTCCGGAGCAAGTGGAGTGCACCAACACCTTTCGTTGAGCTGATAGCCTTAGGAGGACAGTCAACTTGTCTTTCAGGACCTGCGGGCATGAAGGCGTCCCCCGACAAAAGAGACGTCAGTACAAATAAAGTACCGAGTATGTAAGGAATGAAAAGTAGTATATAAAAGACATAAAAGAAATATGGAGTAAAGTACTCAACCTGTAAGTCTGAATAGCTCTGTGAATCATAAAACATTTATAATGTCATGCATGTGCATGTAAATATCATATCATGCATAAGTATATTAGTACATAACATCATCAAGCCTCTGATAACCTTTCATGCATTTTTAATATTTTTAAAATCATAGAAAAATCATAAAAAATTATCACATTTTAATTTCACGCCATCTTAGGTCCAATTTGCATGTAGGAATTAATTTTATTAAGAAAAATTCAAAAAATGGTCATTTTTACATATTTAGCTTTTAGTCTTTAGAAAGTAGTATTTCTATTTAGTTTTAAGTTAATTAATTGTTTTAGTAGATAAATAATTTTAATTTTTACAAAATAGATTGATTTAGAATTTTATTAGATTGTAAAATCAAAGAAAAAGAAAAATGAAAAAAAAAAGATTTTGATTTAGTTTTCCTACCTCAAATTTAATTAGCCCAAATTCATGACCCAAATCCCTTCAAGACCAAAACATTTAGCCATACACATTCCGCATTTGACCTAACTTAATTCCTACCCCTATAAAATAATGCTTAACTTGTAAAATCAAACAAAACGGGGAGGACCTAGACTAAAATTAAGAACGGCAGCACATTGAATTCCTAAGAAATGATAATCATCTCTTTGAACCAAAAGAAGAGTCCGTAGAAAATATAAAAGAATTCTCATCTATATCCAAGTCTTGAATAACCTATCCTTGAAACAAAAAATCAACTCCACAAAATACAGTTCCTTCCGCCACCAAACAGTCAAAACCCCGCTCCAAAATCAATTTATTTTCTTATTTAAAACTGCTACGAACCAGCCTTTTAAAAGTAGAACAAATGAATCTTTCATCTCTTCTCATGTTTTTAGTTTGAAGTAGTCAGAGATCTGACTTGAGAGTACGCCGTTTGAGGTCTACTGGCGACGGGTTTGTGTTCAACTACGACACTGCTTTCATGTTGTAAACCAGTTGGAAAATCTTTATATATTGAAAGGTTTCAAATTTTACAGGTCAGTACATTTCTTGCAGTTGATATCTGTTATTTTTTGTTAATACAGACGCGGGTGTCTGATAATTTTCTATTTCTAATCACATGTAATCGAGTAGGTGTTCTATTTCTTGTTAATTCTCCATTTCAATCATACTCCCGTTGAGTAGGTGTGTGTGTGTGTATTGGGCTATAGGTTGTTCTCTTAAGTGCCCAGAAGTTGGTATTTGTTGATTTTCTAAGTTAAACACATCCATTTTATGACTTTGCTGTATTTCTTTGATTCACTTTTTATTTTGTCTATTTTGTTTATTTGATTAAGTTCTACTGAGTATTTTATAATTTTGGTTGGTGTTCATTTATTCATTCTATACTATTTTAGTATAATATGTTTTGCTTATCTCATTACAATTTCCTTGCACCTTTGTCATGTTTATTCGTATAAGTGTCGTTTGAAAGAGGCAGTATAAATTATGGAGAAGTACAAGGCCTTGCAATAATCCCAAACATAGAAAAATAGTCCATGAATATCGTAGCTTGCTTTAGGCGCGATTAATAAAATTATCATGGTCACGGGTATGGTTCACGTGGCATAGTCACGGTACATAAATCTAAATTCGAGTGTGCATTTCATGTGACCCGACCATAACAACTTCAAATAACAATAATAAAATAAACATGTCGCGAATCGCGGGTGGATTTCATGTAGCATGGTTTACGGTGTGTTCCAAAACGGTAAGTGTACGACAATCATAATTTGTTCAAAAAATAATCCCATAAATCCTAAAAAGCGGTTAAAATAATTAAAAGCGGTTATAAAGTTAAAATGCACAATAGGTTTTAAAAACATACAATAAATCAGATAATAGGCCAATATTAATAGTTTAAGCGACCGTGCCAGAACCACGGAACCCGGGAATGCCTAGCACCTTCTCCTGGGTTAACAAAATTCCTTACTAAGAGTTTCTGGTTCACAGGCTTTTAAAATAAAGTCGAAATTTCCTCGATTTGGGATTTTAAAATAAACCGGTGACTTGGGACACCAAATAATTTATTCCAAGTGGCGACTCTGATAAATTAATTAATCTCATTTCGATTAATGTCACTTTAATTGGAAAAACTCCCTATATACCCTTGGGTGTGTAAAAAAAGGAGGTGTGACAGCTTTGGCGACTCCGCTGGGGACCATAACCCAGAACTTTTTGTTCAGGGTTTAAGAATTCGAGCTTAGAATAACTGTTATAGTTGGCTTTATTTATTATCTGATTTTTATATATTTGAGTCTAATGTGCTAAATGCCTCTTTTTACCGCTTTGATATTGTTTGGACTGTATATAAACTGTTATCAAACCCTTCTTCTCCCTAAGTCTTCTAAATCATCTGGGAGTATGATTGAAATGGAGAATTAACAAGAAACAGAAACACTGCAAACAAGCACAATAAGTTAGCTTTCAGGAATACTTGCACACACTATTAGCCCAAAACCTAAGCAAAAAGGAGCATAAAATAGGCGAGAATCCCTAATTATCAACTCCCCCAAACATAAGCTTTGCTTGTCTTCAAGCAAACAAAATAATTCCCACCTCTTCAAGATAAAAGAAAGGAAAATTTCAGCTATCCTAAAGCAACCTCATCAAGCATCAATTGGGACTAACAATTACCCTCAATTCAAATGCATTATTAACAATACAAAACCTTTTTAGCACTATGGCTTTAGTGCTACAAAAGCATCAAGAGTTGACTCAACTCATCAAGGAAACTCTTTCTACTACATTGGTTGTTGTGGAACCCAAACTCATACTCCTTGACTCTCCATATGCAAACCTCACTCTTAGATTGCAGCACTTAGAACGAGGATTGTGGAAAACACACTCATCTCGCTCAAATGAAGGTCACAAGTTCGGCTCTAAGTACCATAAGCTTGCCCCTTATGTGAGTCACCACTAATGTAAGCTCACTCAACTCAAGATCATATAGGGCTTTTGCGGGAATGTAATGATGGCTTTTGGTTCAAGGTAGGATATATTGGTCTATGAAGGTTTAATCTTTCCTTAAGCACTTCATTTTCTTCATTTTGGCTCACATTTTCTTGACTCTTTGAGTCATTTACTTCTTCCTTATGGGCTAGAGAGACACATTGTCACTCTTTCTTGCTCATTTCAATTTTTTTTCTCCTTTCTAGTCTTTCCAAGCTTTTCATCTTTGCTTTTATTGAATCCCTTCATTTCTTCTACATTGTTCACTTTCTTTTTGAATTTTTGGCTTTTCATTCTTTTTCTTTTTGCTTTTCCTTTTCTTCATATGTACCTTTTATCACTTTTGCATTCCTCGTCTCTCCCCCCAAACTTATGTTTTTGCCTTGTGATAAGGAAAGATCGGGTGCCAAGAGAGGATCATTTTAGAACTAATAAAGGCTTGTATCATGGTTATTGAAAGAACAAGGGCTATGGCTGGGGTTGACTAGGGATATCATATTTGGTGGGCTATGGATGATTTCAAGTTCAAATTTGGATCAAGAAGAGCCTATAATCACTTCTTAAGTCGAGCTTCACTTAGAATTTTGCCTAGACAAACATTCAGGGCAAGTTCTAGACTTATTGGCACGGGACTTGGACTTGAAAATCAAAACCTCACCTCACAAACTATTGGATTGCTAAAGAGACAGAGTCGAGGGCCCACAACAACCTTAGCTAAGATTAAGCAACACAAATGGTTCCTAAAAACCACTCAATAATTGTAAAGTCAATACAAGAGTCTAAAGGTCACAACTATCACCATTCTTTACACATCAATTTTTTTCTAACCATAAGGTCAAAGGTAAATGTGTTAGGCCCAAGTGAAGCTTTGCCTGAGGCATTATTGTTCACTAGCTACTATTTACACAAAAATGAAAAGAAAACAGACTCAAACCCTTAAAAAGACTGTCATGTCATCCATCATCGAGAAGAGCCATCCGGTTCACACAAACTCTACCTTTGGAAAGAACCGTGGCATTAAGAAAACCAAAGGCTTATTGATTACGAAAACTTGTAAAAATAAGAAGCTATGAACTGAAAAGGAAGCTACTAAATGAAATAAGAAGCTATGCTATTAAGAAAAATTGCAAAAGAAGTTACAAAGTAAACTATGGAAAGTAAACTGAATATGTACAATAGGGGATTGAGACTAATATACATAAGAGGGAATAAATATATACATGGAAAAGTAATTTATATACATACCGAAAATTGAAAAATTAACAAAAAGTGAAAAATAAATGGTAAAGTTATATACATACCAAAAGTGCAAAATAACTATAAAGAAAAACCAGTATCATAATTATAATCTAATTATCAAATCATCAAAATAGGATCCCCCCCCCCCCAAATAAAAACTAGCATTGCCCTCAATGCTAATAGCAAAGAAGGGCAATGCTAATAGCAAAAATAAGATCAAAAAGGGGTTAGAGAATAAAGAAAACTCCTTATGGGTCCTCTGTTTGCATGAGGTCCTGTGGCTGGGTCCCTGGATCACCTCCCTCGGGGTACTGTGGCTGGCCTGAGGCACCTCCCTCAGGGTCCTCCAGCTCAAACTCCAAGTCATCAACCTAGGGAATGAGTCTCCTCCTCCTAGGCTCTCCATCAGCCTCCTACTCCGGTATCTGCTCTAGCTGACCTGCTGGAATTTGGTCCTATAATAATAGCTCCAATGGTAGGTCGCCAGCTGATTTTATCTTTTCCACTTCTCCTCTCAAGAGCTTCACAGACTCCTTTGAGGCCCGAGTCATTTTCAGCTTCTTCGTCTACTTGCTCAGCTCCTTAATTGTTTTACCTTGATCTGCAAGAGCATCCATGATGAGCTTCTGGTTGTCCAGGAGCTTCTTCTAGTTGTTCAGAAGCTCCTTGAGATATTCCTCCACTAAAGCTGGTACTTGGGGCTGTGCGGGAACTGACTAGGCTGCCACTGAGCTGGATAGTATAGACAACTTTGATGTTGCCGCCTGTATCTAGTTGTTGATGCTGGAGAGAGTCTGGTTCAGCCTATGTGCAATCAAAGGGTATGCTGATGAAGAGGGCACTGAGCAAGGCATGGAAGTAGATGATCCGAGGGAAGGATCTGGTAAGGCAGTGGGAGGCTCAGAAGCAGTGACCACCACTGCTGGCTCTTCAGACTGGCCAGTAGAAGTAGTAGCTTTGCCCTTGGATTTCGGGTTGCCTGGACCCTAAAGGTTTTACCATGAGAAGGGCTTCTTGGGTTTCACCTTGATATCGAAATCCCTTTTCTCAACCTCCTGATCCTCCAAGTACATGGTAAGGAAGTTTGGAAAGGGGTAGGATCTCTCACCCTTGTTGACCACTCTGGTGATAACCCTGGACATGATATTCCCAAAATTGATCGGGAACCCCACCATAATAGCCGTCACTATAATCACTTGGGAAACCAGAATGTCAGTGTCATGAGTAGTAGGGTATAATCTACTACACATAAATGTCTCCCAACCTTTCTCCTCGAAGTTTAGGGTGTTCCTGTAGATAGGGACCCCTACTGTCAACCAAGCTGGAGTAGTACTCGGGAGAGCAAGTATTGATGCCAACCACGGGCAGGCCACCTCAGCCATGTCCACCTTCTCTAAGTACAATGACTCATCTTCATTATTGAAACCAATCTAATCATTCAGAGTCTTCCCATCAAACTTGATCTTCAGATTCCTCACCTTAGTCACAAATGTGCCCTTTTTGATGTGGGCGACATTGGCATAAAATTCCTTAACTAGGTGCTCATTAACATTCGGTAGCCCGCTTGTGAAGTGCTTCCAATCCACTCTTTTACATTGGGGTAGTGGGACAGAAGATCCCGCTCTATAAATTGACGCTCATGTATGAGTGACCTTTGAGGCCACCACACACTGAATTTGTGGTAGGCTTTCTCACTGACAAATCTTTGTTCCCATACCTCCAGGTTTCTTATTCTTGCCAACCCTCCAGTCTGGGTGCCACCCCCTCTCTCGTCATCCGGTGCCTCAGCATCTACATCAATGGGCTC